TGAAGGCCTTTGTTTCCCATCAGGCCAGTGGGGAAAACGTAAGTGATGGTGGCTCCCTCTAGTGGAGTTGTCAGAAATTGAAACTGGCTCTGAATCTTAAATGGAGAAGGCACCTGCCGGAGGATACCCAGATGATGGGGGTGGCCCAAAAATTCTCATACATGTCATCTCAAGTAATAGGTAAAGTTTTTGGAGGAAGTCATCTTGTTTTGATTTTTATCATCTCCAGCATGGGGGGCTTTGGCTGCAGGGACAAGCACTCTTAATCTCTGGCTGCAGTCCTCAGGGTCAGTACCAAGCCAGAAGCCAGCAGGCCAAGAACTGGAGGAACATAGGAAGTCTCTTCCAGCCACTGCCACACTGTGGACAAATTCCTTTCACTTCTCTGGGGCTTGTTTTCCTCCATATGCTGGGGGTGTGGTGTGCAGGTCAACCAGCTGATCTCCCATCTCTGAGATGCTCTAAAATGCCATGACTCTCAGATGAGCTCACAGTCTATTGCTCATCCAGGAGGAAGCCACAGCATTGCTCATCACCTCCTACACCCCAGAGGGAGGCTTCCAGCCACCAAGCATTTTCATGAAATCACTGCACTGTGCTCTCACAATGACCATCTGATGCTCCTTATCCTGATCCCTCCTTCTCTGCCCCAACCACCAGGTTGGCTTTGTGTTCTGAGACTGAGCTCAAAGATGAATGATTCTCCTCTGTGGCCCACAGAGCCTAAGATTCCAGGGCAAGGGTCCCATCAGGTCTGTTGGCTTGAGCTTAGAGCCCTGTGAAAATGAGACTGAGGAATTCTACTCTTCCTTAGCAGGAAAAGAATGTCTATGTGATCCATCCCATAATAGTATAGTAGTAGTCGTAGTAGTAGTAGTAGTAGTAGTAGTAGTAGTAATAATAATAATGTTTAACACTTATACATGCTTACTACAGACCAGGCACAGTTGTAATCACTCTACTAATATATTAACTCATTTACTCATCATAGTAAGCCTATATCAGGTAATCCATAAATGTGCCATTCTTGCCTGGATATCAGAGTAATTTTAACAAGAGCCAAAGTCACTTGGTTATTATAAATGCTTGCCACGGAGCATAGATGCTTAATAAGAATTGAATCAACATGGATCTCCCTAGGCAAGGAGAAGACTTTCTTATTCCGTCACATACCTGGAAATCAGTTTGCCCTCAGTTACTCATGTGATGGAGTTAAAATCTCAGAATTACTAACTGGGAAGAGAAATTGCAGATCATTTGGCCTAATTCTCCATTTCCCAGATCAAATGGCGGGCTCAGGAATAAGAGGTGAAACGTCTTGCCGTGCATCCCACAGTGAGTTTAGTGGCAGAGCCAGGACTGGCCCCCAGGTGTCCAGACTTCCAGCCCCAAGTCCTTTTCATTCTACTATGCTATGTCTGCCACACACCTGAACTGATGAACGGCACTGAGACCTCCCGTCCTGTGGCCCAGCGAGCTCCCTAGTCCTCGGCCAGCCCCGTAGAGCTCAAGAAGCAGGATCCTTCTGATATTGCCTAGGGCACCCAAGAGCAGACTGGGAAATCAGTTCTCTGCTACCTCACCTAAAAGCAAAGACATCAGTCACCCCTGGAATGGTGCATCCCAAAGGCAGAGGACAGGGACAGTCTGCAGGCAGCCTGGGACATCAGGATGAGGGGTGGCCTTCTTCCTTTAACCACCCACTTTGGACAAGACCTCCATGGCCCCTCCCTGGGAGCTATCGTAGAGGTGTTCTCACTTCCCAGGGACTTTTCTTCTTTACCCACGCTGATTTGGGGTTCTGCTGCTGCACTCCATGCACCCCACCTTTGCTTTCCCATTGTCTCTGCCTCAGGGTAATTTGGTCTCATGATTCTCATTTTGGTTTGTCTCCTGCCAGGATGTGACAACACTTCGCCTGTCATTTTCCAGCTGGAGTCAGTGCCAGTCATGACCCCAACTTTCCCAGGAGTGGCTAAGTGGAAAGACAACCTTCAGGACAATCTCTCTTTATGGCCCTGTGGCCGTAGGCTTTATTGGAAGTCCTCTGGTCTGAGGGCACTTGACAGTCCTCTGGGCACTTAGTTATGGGTGTTCTGTTGCTCGGCTGAGAAGCAGACTCCCTCTGCTCTAGTTTGAGTGGGAAGGGTAGAAGTGTGCAGAGAGTAGTAAATAAAATCAGAGGGTGGATGTGTGTGTGTGTGGGTGGGGGAGAAGAGTGAGAGTGAGAATGAATGACAGAAACTCAGATGCAGCCCATCCTAGATGTGGGATCAGGACATCGGGCAGGGCAGAGGCAACAAAAACTGCTGCTGTCCCACGGGCTTCAGGGAGAAGGATGTAGGGCTGGGAGACAGAGTCACATTCCGCTGGGCCTGCTGAAATTGGGGAGGAGGGTCATCCCACAGGCCAGCTTCTGGGAAGGAGTCACCGGGCCTCTGGCAGCAGCCAGAAAGGGTCCAGCCTCCGGTCTCTCCTTTCTTCCACGCCCCTCAAAGCCACAACCTGGGAGTCATCCTTGCCTTCACTCTCTCTACACCCCACCTCCATTTTCTTCTGTTGACTCTCTCTTCAAAATTACCCAGAATCTGTCCGCTTCTCAGCACCTCCATTGTTGACAGACTGGCCCAGACCACCATTTGCTGTCACCTAGATTATTCCAACTGCTTCCTAACTGGTAATTCTGCTGAAATTGAAGTCCAATCATAGCACTTATCTGATCAGACCCTAGAAGAATGGCTTCTTCTCCAACTCCATGTACAAGCAAAGTGCTTTTAGGCGTCCATAAGGCTGTGTCTGGCGGGCCCCACCCCCACTGCCCAGCTATTTCTAGCCTCACCTCCAGCTCCTCTCCTGCTTGTTGACTGCCCTCCAGCCACTCTGGCCTCCTAGCTGTTCCAAGAACGTGCCAGCAAAGCTCGCACCTCAAGGCCTTTGCATGTGCTATTCCCTCTGCCTAGAACATCTCCCCCCAGGTACCTACATGGTACCTCACTCTTGGCCTCCTCTGCTCTTTACTCAACCATTACCTTCTAGGTCAGGCTTTCCCTCTCTCCCTTATTTTAAGCTGCTCTCCACCCCTCCCACTCCTGTGTTTCATAGCCTCCTTTCCTGATTTCCTGTATTGCATTTGTATCTAGAATATAATATATTTTAGTTATTTATTGTTATCAATTTGCCTGCCTCCCCCTACAGGGCCTCACCTTCACAAGGGCATGGGGTTTATTGGTTTTGTTCATTTGCCCAGTGCGTAGTAGGCCCTCAGTGAAAACTTGTTAAATAAAAAAACAATCAAACCTTCACACAGGAGATGTCAGAGTTATGGGGTTCTTTAGTAAGAAGAGAAGCCTGGGAAAAAAGGCTCTGTGTGTGTGTGTGTGTGTGTGTGTGTGTGTGTGTGTGTGTGTTGCTGGGATGTTTGACAACCCCTTTCACTTGTAGTAAACAATGCATGAGTTCTTGCTGATTTGTATATGTGATATTATGATTTATAATAAGAAACATATTTGATCTTTGTCCCCATTTCTGGCACAAAGCTCCTAAAACTCTTGGAATCTCCTAAGTGAGGAGGGAAATAGAGGTGCCTTGTTATGTGAATGAGGTGACTTTTGCAAAGCCATTATGGAAGGAGACTGGTTGCCAGGAGAACCAACCATGTGATTAGACATTTGGAGCTTTCGGTCCCACCCTCCTGACCTCCTGTAAGACCCCCCCTGGCCTGCATAAGGAGGTCTCCGTAAAAATCCATGGGGTTCAAAGAGTTTCTGGCTTGGTGAACATGTGGAGATGCAGTGAGAGTGGGGCCTAGAGAAGACGTGGAAGCTCCGAGCCCCTTCCCACATACCTGGCCCTGTGTATCTCTTCCATCTGGCTGCTACTGACTCACATCCTTTAATGATAAATCGGTGATCTCGTAAGTAAAATATTTTTCTGAGTTCTGTGAGCTACTCCAGCAAATTAATTGAACCTGAGAAAGAGGTCATGGGAACCTCATTCAGAAGCATAGGTGACAATCTGGGCTTGTGACTGGTGTCTGAAGTGGGGGTAAAGGGGCAGTCCTCTCAACCTGTGGGATCTAATGCTATCTCCGGGTAGATAGTTTTGGAACGGATTGTAGGACACCCAGCTGGTGACCTGAGTATTGCTCGTTGGTGTGGGGGAAACCCCTCTCCTTTGTGGAGTTGGGTGCAGAAGCCTTTCAGTATCAAAGCGGTTTAACTGTATGTATTAACCAGAGTCAACACTTCATTCATTCATGTCCTCACTCACTCATGCATCTGACATTTTATGAGTAACAATTCTGTGTCAGGTGCTCTGCTAGACATTAGGTGAACACATGGCTAAGAATACGGTCCCCACAGCCCAGACTTCTGCAGTTGTGATGAAGCCGTTGCGCTCAAAACATATCTAAGAGGGTCCAGGCATTAAAACAAACTGTAACCCCCAGCAACACCTAATGAGGAAAGTAAATTCAGGGCAAGAAAATCAGCCTCATATGTTTGTCACCAAGAGTAAAGTTTCCTTGGGTGAGTGGCTACTAGTGAGAATTTCTCCCTCCAGGGCACCGTGACAGGACCTGGGGAGTGATAAAAGGGTGAGAAGGGACTCCCAGAAGTGATCTTGCTCTCCTTCTGCTGACGACAGGCCAAGAGTGAAGAGCTGTCAGTGACAAAAAGCAGTGTGGGTCACACACTAGAGAGAAGCTCTACCTGCTCCTGGGAGACCCTGCACACAGCATCTTCTGGGCCCTGGGGAAGCCACAAGAAATGTAACTCTGACCTTAACATTTGCCCACAGGCTGACACTTGGCGAGTGTCCCCTGTGCAGGGTGAAATCGCTGCAGAGGGCAATCAAGCACCTTTTCTGGCGATCTGTAGGTGGCACCTGGGAAGCTAGCTGGGTGTTCCAGCATCTTGGAAACATGCCTGTGTTTGTCATGACTACTTGGCCTGTCTGCTTAATTTAGCTGTTAATGTTTTCATGCAGCAGAACACATAGCCTCCAAGATTTTGCCATATATTTATTTGTTAGTCTTCCATGGCCACTGTTTTCCCGGGTGGGGCTGTGGCATGCACTTCCTGGAATCATTTGACCTCAGACCTCCTTGTACCTTGTTGCTTTGGCCCACACTGCCAGCTTTCACCTCTCCCTACAGCCTCACTCCAATATCTTGGGCCCCATCTTTAATGCCGGTGGGTTCAGTCTCAGTTTCTTCTAGTCTGGTCACTGCCGTGGGAGGCCACTGGAGGGGTGTCAGGCTGGATGGCCCAAGGAGGGATCTCGTCCTCTGGAGAAGTTAAGGTTCCAAGCCTTCTCTGTCCAGCAGCTATCAGACCCATGTGTAGGTATCCTTGCTTGGACCACTGTGCCAGCCTTTTCCCTGCTAGGGAGGAACCAGAACAAAAGGAAAAAGAGTTTAGTGATATGAGGGTGGGCTGCAAGAGAAATGGCATCAAGGAACCTGAGAACACCCTCTGCCTTCTTTCCTCAGCTCCTCTGGCATTTGCATAGGGGCCCCCGACCCAGCCCCTATTTCTGGTCTCTCTGGTTTGCTTAAACCCTACCTTGCACCCCTCAGGCCCCACGAGGGCCCCTGCAACCCATCAGCCACTGCTGACCACATGCAACCTGAGGCCACTCCTGCAGAGGCTGCTTGTACATACTGTGTCGTGCCTTATCCCCATTTGCTGGCCCCTTAGTGCACCAAAAGTCAAGTCTAAGCATTTTGCTTGACTTCCAGGCCCTGGAAAGGGAAGCCTCATACAACCTACCCAGCTGGGGCCCCTGCTCTCTAATACCCAGCACTGTCTACCTTGGTCCCAGGGGCCCATCTCTGACACTCAGCATACATCAGGAGTCTCCTCCCTCCATGAAAGAGTTCTAGCCACAGCTTTGCTCCTCCCTCACCCCACCCACCAAATGCTCCTATCTCCCTCCCACATCCTCAGTCTCCCATCCTCCAGGCTCAGCCCAGCCCACCACTTTCACGAGCTTCTCTGGCCATCCCAACATGATTGATCTTTCTCTTCCCTGATTTTCCTTGCCTTTATGGCCTGTCCCAAGACATTATACATAACTGTTTTCTACTAGAAAGTACATGAGATTGGAGGCCCAAAGTCCTGTGTTCAGCGTCTGCCTCTCACATGCACTGGGCAATGATAGTTAGGCCCCTCGCTTATCCATCCAGATACGATGCCTGTGACTCTATAACTACACTAAGCCCTTCAAGAGCAGACCAGGTTTGGCCAAAAACAAATAAAACCAATAATTGTTTGTAATTCTGCTCCCACACATGTAAAACAAAATGGCAAAGATAAGGTGTGTCTCCAGCTTATTAGGGCTACCAGAAAGACCAAATGCTTGTGAAACTGCTTTGGAAAAGATTAAGAGTCACGAAAATGCCATTCGATATGACTGTGCCTATGCAGTAAACTCCTATGGATCAAAAGGTTTAATATTTATAATTTCAATTACATGAGAGCAAGCCCCAAAGTCCATAACATGGAGGAATGTGTAATTTTGCAAAAGCACAAATGTGGCCCCAGTGCATACTGCAAGCCTGGGGTTCTGGGGCAGCAGCTTGCCTCGTGACTAAGTGTTGCTGACCATCCAGTGTCAGGCTCGCAAGGACGTCACACGATGCTTTCCACTGGCTTTGTCCATGTGCAATAATTTCTGCAAAGTAGTTGAAAATGAAATGAAACAAAATAAAACCTTTGTTTCTATGTGAAATTCCAGTGGTCCTCAAATGAAAGATATTTTTACCATTTACCAAATGGTAAAAATGCAGCTTTTGTGGTTCCATAGGAAAGTAAATAGAAATCCGATCACCCTCCTTTCAGGCTCATGACTGGGAGAGGCCTGTACAAGCACTTCTGGGTTCAAATGTGGAGCTGTGTCAGGTGTCTAGACACAATTTCCAAATGCCAGGGGTATGCGTTAGGCTCGGTTCTCATGATAGGGGGGTAAATTATACACCACAGGCTTTATGCCAGGGCTGCCCTGCCAATTATACCACAGTGGGCTCAGAAGCATGTGGAGAGGAATGGTGGATAGTGCGAGAAACCTAAACCCGTACCTTCCACGGTAGGAAGTCAGCTTTCCTAAGACTTGACAAATAAGAGGAAAAGATGAAATGTGAGTGTGTTATTGACAAATACAGTGACAAATGTAGAAGAAAGAGCTAAAGAGTTGAAAGAGACTGTTTCTGGGGAGTGCAAGATAGGGATGGGGCCAGGAATGTTACAAAAATAACAATAAATAACTTTGTTATAAGCCTTGTGGAAATATTTTTTTAAGCTTAGACTAATATTTTAATTTAAAGGAAAAGAAATACATCAAATACTTGAAAATATCCCAAAATGGAAAGACACAATTCTCCAGATTAAACGGTTCAAGTTCTAAAGTTGCCAGATCTAGCAAAAACAAACGAATACAAACAAAGAAGGATACCCAGTTAAACTGAATTTCATAAGCAGCAAGTTTATGACAATCTCTTAGTAAAAGTGTGTCCCAAATACGGCAAAAATTACTCATAGTTTATCTGAAATTCAAATATAACAGGAGTTTTCTTTGTTTATGCCCAATACACACATACCAGGATATTGCAGAGCACCACGGATAAAGAGAAGATGCTAACAACTTCCAGATGGAGAAATGTCACACAGAAATCAGAAAGCACTGACTTCTCATGGCAGGATCGGCAATTTAGAAGCGGTGGAACAATGCCTTCAAAATTCTGAAGAAAAATGATAGCCATTCCAGAATTCTACACCCATCTAATCATCAATGAAGTTTGAGAATTAAATAAAGGCATTTTTAGGCATGCAAAGTTTAAAAAACTTACCTCCCCTTTACCCTTTGTTAGAAAACTAGTGGAGGATTTGCTCCACCAAAAGAAGAAACAAACGAAAGAAGAAAAGATGCAGTCCAGGAAAATGGAGACCCACCATTGGAGGGAAGAAAATGAATCCCCAGGACAAGAGCTGTGCAGAGCCAGTGAGACAGCAGGCAAGACTGGAGTGGGAATGGAAGACTTCAGGGGGAAAAGGAACAGACAGAAAGTCTGGTGCATGTGATTGCATGGAAAATGGTGTTTAGATGGGTTTTCCAAGTCTATTGGAGAGTTTGAAAAGAATTATAAATATGTACATAGAAAATTAAGCAGGTGAAGAAAATTAGGCAATTATTAACAAAGTGTTTACAAGAGATTAAATGAATATTATCATAATATACTGCTTGGCAATGCAGAAAATATTTGATAATGATAATGATATAAATGTGAAGCATTGATTTACCCAAAAAATTATGTTGGAAGCAGAGAAAGCGGGTATCTGTTTTCATACAAAGAGAAGAGGTAATGTACTATTGCCCAGGGTGAAAATCAGTCCTTACAGCAGCTCACAAGACCCTATGCAATTGTATCACCCCAACTTCATACTCCAATTTATTCCTTATTGCTTTCTCTTTGTTCACCTTGCTCCAGCAATAAGGGACACTTTCCTGTTCTGTTCCTCAGTTACACCATATGACCTCCCACCTCAGGGCCTTTGCACTTGCTGTTCCCTTTGCTTAGAATGCCCTTCCCCCACATATCCACAGGGCTCTCCCTCCCATCTGGTCTTTGTTCAGATGCCATCTTCTCAGTAAGGTCATCCCCTTCCCCCACTCCCTTATTTAACATTGCATTTCTTCCTCAACATTCCCTACATCATCCTCACGAGTGCTAATTTTTCTCTATATTTTTCTGTGTAGAGCACTGCCTCTGTATAATGAGATAGAGTGATATTTAAATGTTTGCTTATTCTCCCCAATGGAGTGAAAGCTCTATGAGGGCAGGGAATTTACATCTATCGATGATTTGTTCACAAATGTACCAAAGCTTAGTGACCAGCACAAAATAGGAGCTTTATAAATATTTGTGAAATGAAAAAAGAAATCAAGAAATAGCAATGTAAGCATTTGTTGAGAAATACTGGGGTAAATACCAGAAACAAACTTAAAATAATTTAAAATCGTTGCCTCTGAGGACTTGGATTCATGGTAAGGAGAAAAGCTGGGTTGGCTAGTTTTCCTTGGAAGCCTTAGAGTATTATTTGGCTTTTCAAACTATGCGCATGTATTACTTTAATAAAAAATTAAAACGATTTTTAAAAATATGCTCACTGTTTTCACTTCCTCACCCAAAATCATACTCATATTTTATTCCAATGCCAAAAGGAAGTGACTACTGGATTACCTACTTTTTTCTATTATTAATCCTAGAAGTCATCTTTCTCTCATCCACCTTTCTCTCTGACCCACCACCTCCAATCCATCATGGAGACCGGAAGCTCCCACCACCTCCATAGCTCTCAGATCTAATCATCTCTTCCTGTCTCCATCACCACTGCCCTAGTGCCGTCTTTCACCTGGGTGTTGGGAAGGTTTTCTAATGGACCCACCTATTCCATCCAATCCATGACACTGTGGCCATATATATTTTCAAACACAAATCTGATCACGTTACTCCACTGCCACCCACTTACAACGTGCCCATGGCGTCCTGTTGCTCCTGGGCTACTGTTAAGACAGCCTTCCCAACTCGCTCTATGTTTGCTTTTCCCACACTGCCCCAGTCTCGTACTCACCCTGTTTTCCCACCTCAGGGCCTTTGGAGATGCTGCCTCCTCTGCCTGGAATGCTGTTTCTACAACCTTTACCTATTTACCTCCTGCTCATCATTCAAATATAAGCTAGAGTCACTAAGTCAAATCCTCCTAGTTTAGGCTCTTACAGCACAAGTGTGTGGCTCTCTGCAGGCGTGTGGCTCTCTGTACTTTGTAACACTTGCCACAGGTGCACTTTTACATTTGGGTTTATTGGATTAACAGCTGCCTCCACTCCTACCATCAACACACACACTACACACATACATACACACACACACACACACACACACACACTCATATGCTTCATTAAAAGAGGGCATCATTCCTCTCATTTATCATTATATCCCTATTGCCCATACATAGGTAGGAGCTCAATAGATAGATATTGAATAATTTATGGAAACACTGCCCTTCACTACTGCACAGCCCATATGTACTGCTTGGGTTTGCATAATGTTTATTCATCTGTCTCACCTCTACCCTAGACTTGGAGACTGCTTGCTCTTTCTTTAAAGCCCTGCCACTCACTTCTCTATATATACTTCCAGTTCCCATCTTCACACATAATTTCTGGAAATGTGTATTGAAATAAAAGGTGCCAAAGATTATGTGTTGTATGGGATTTCTATCCTGGAGAGCCAGCATATTATAAAACCCTTCCTTACACTTTGCCTTTTAAACATAATCATCCATGATGTATTTCCAGCACTTCACATATCATCTTTAAATA